ACCTCTTGTTCATTAGGTTTCTTTGGAAGAGAATTTCCACAGACTCCCTGATCTTCAATTTCTTGAAGCTTTCCTCATATGAGGCCAGTCTTTTCGTTGCACTCCACTCAATTGTGTGACCAATAAGAGCGATCTGTTCAGCTATCTCCGATTTCTCCGTATCCATTTTTCAGTCTAGTCGCTGGTGCCTTTTCATTCATGTTGATGGTTCTTACAGTCTCTCCTATGTATTATCGTTCACAGTCCTTGCAGTTTGTGCTATAAACTTTAGAGCACTCCATTTTATTGACTTCTTCATTTTGTGTGGGCAAGCTGGTGAAGAGGGCTGTCTTTTCCTTCAGGACTGTACGAGTGTTTCATTTCCGTAGTATTGGTCGTAGCTTCAAAGCCAACACGCAGGAGGGTAGACATATCCATCGTTTTTTCTCTGCTCCTATTGCTTTCCTTTCATAATCTCAGTCCCTCCCTCTGTTCATCACCATCAATATGTTTCGCTGTATTGATTTTTCTGGATATCCGTTTCCAAGACACATCTGAGTTAATTCTCCCAGTTCCTCTTCCCAGAACTCAGAACCAGTGAGTCGTAGGCTTCTTATGACCATACTCCAGAGTATTCCAATATTCATCCCAGAAGTATTGTTCGACTGGAAGTTAAGAGTTATTCCAGCATGCGATTTTTTTTTGAAAAGTCTTTTATTAATAGATTCCTCGGAGTGAATGACTTCAAAATCCAAGAAAGGTAAGTGTCCATTATTTTCCAAATCTATGGTAAATTTGACTTTTTCATCAATTTTGTTTAGGAAGATTAAGAAATCGTCTAATTTTTCTCTTCCAAATATCGCATAATTACCGTTGGCTTCTGGGATGACATTTTGAAATTCTCCTCCAACTTGTCCATGAAGACATTAGTCAACAGAGATGAGAGTGGTGAGCCCATAAGTAGACCAAATATTTGCTCATAGATGCGGCCGTTGAAAGTTAAATAGATTCTTATTGTTAAGTTAATTAATCGGGTTAGAGATTGTCTACGTATTCGCTCTGTATCCAGGATGTCATTTTCTTTTCCCAAGATCTCTAGTAGTGTGATGAGTGCTTTTTCTCCTGTAATGTAAGTGTACATGAACTGAACATCAAAAATCATCAAAAGTTCGTTTCCTTCGAAACTGGTGCCTTGGGAATGTACCCAGCCAATGGTCCAATACTGGAAACCACAAATACAATAACAGAGGACACGGGACTAGATACGTTTCACAAGGTCTCCGTGATGCTCCGACCAAGTTGTAAAAACAAGGTCGAACCAACACTATAAATTGGAGCCCGTCCAAATTATAAAATAGCTGAAGGTGGAAGAATAGAGAAAGGCGGTAGTTACACTCACCTCCAGACGCATGACCTCATCAAGCAACCGGTCCTGAAACTCGAGAAAATGTTTTATTGTGAGTTTACGATCACCTTTCTCGCCGAAGAAGTAATGTCGTAGAGCACTGTTACGACCCGGCTTCAAAGTACTGCCTGTAGTGGAGTGATCGCGATGACGCTTACCCATTGCCGACTGGTCCAGGATGACACTTCGAACCTAATGAAGAAAAATTATGGATGAATAAACATAATGGGAGAAGATAAGATGGTAACGACAGAGGTTGAAAGATATAGGAGATTTAATGAGAAATAAGAATGAATATGCGGAAATTTGTCTATAAAGATCCAGTAAGAATAAGGCTAAAACTAGGTCATTCGCTTTGAAACTCAAATTGAGAAGACAGATAAGGAACCTAACTTACAAAAATATTT